CAAGACACAATAGCCTGAAACAAATAATTAAAACAGTTCTCTGTGTGTCTAGTATGTTCTCCTGACAGACAATTCCAAAACAGGAACAGTGAAAATATCCGAAAAAAGGCAGCAATATCTGAAACTATAATCTCCTGAGAGAAAAGCATTCATTGATAGAAGAAAATGCTATTATTTCCTACTTCGTACATAAGGTTTGCTCCGTTTTCTTTACCAGGTCTCTCCTTTAAAAGCATGTAAGATTGAGATGGGCTCGATAGTACAGGGACTTAGATGCTTGCCTTGGATGCAGGAGACTCTGATTCCATCCCTAGTACAACATATGGTCCCCCAAGTACCACCAAGAGTGATCCCTGAGCTCAGAGTCAGAAGTAATCTCTGAACATTTGGGCGTTCCAAAAATCAAAAAGAAAAACAAAAAGAAAAGAGAAAAAGCAGACTCCACAGCTACAATGCAATACTAAACTATGAAACCAAGAAGAAAGGCAAAATGGAAAGCTCAGATTATGGATATAATCAAACTCAACATAAATGTTTTAAAAACATGAAAAAGCATATAAGTAAGTGCAAATAAGTACTAACTTTGAAATTTTTAACATAAAAGTTGAAAATAAGAGAAAAAAAAGAAAAAATTGTTTTTAGACTTCAGCTAAATAAAATCATTTCAATTATTTATAACAGTACATAATATGCAAAAAATAAAAAATCAGTATCTCAAAGTCCTACCACTTGTCCCAAAATGTTGTCCACATGTGGCACATGTCCACAATTCACATCCACCAAAATAGATCAATTTTATCATTATAAAAATCATGTAGCTATTTTATAGACAAAACTTTTTATAGTATACCATGCAAATATATTCTTAGGTACCAGATGTTTATATAACAATCAGATATTTTCATTTGTATTCTGAATTTTTTTTTATTACTGGGAAAAAAAAAAAACCACCATCTCCGAATGCAACAGTTATATATACCTAGGTCAAGAAATCAACATGATGAATGACCTGGCACCTGAGTTGCGCAGGAGGAAGAGAGCGGCTTGGAATGCCTTCAAGAGCATTGAAGAAATAACTAAAAGGACAAAGAACCTCCAGCTACGAGCACATCTCTTTGATTCCACTATTCTTCCTGCATTAACATATGCCTCAGAGACCTGGACCCTACGAAAACAGGATGAGAACACTATTCGGGTCTCTCAAAGAGGAATCGAAAGAACTATGCTTGGAATATCATGATTCACTCAAATGAGAGATAGAATCCGGAGTTCTGATCTTCGTCAACGTTCAAGAATCAGGGACGCTGTCTCATTTGCCAAGACATCAAAAATCAGATGGGTTGGACACGTAATGAGGTTTACAGACAGCCGCTGGACTAGAGCCATTACTGACTGGATTCCACGGGACGTCAAAAGATCGCGTGGACGCCCACCTACAAGATGGTCAGACTTCTTCGTCAAGACCCTGAATGATCGGTTTGAGGCTCTGCATGTTCCTAGAACGAACAGATACCATTGGGCTACGCTAGCACGCAACCGGGATGAATGGAGACGTTACTGGCACCCGCTCGAATAAATCGATGAATAACGGGGATTAAGTGATAAGTGATTAAGTGATTCTGAATGACAAAAAAAAATTTTTAGAAACCCCAAGCTTGACCGGTATAGTGTACTATCTCAAATCAAATAAACAAATAATCATATTCATATATATATATAAACATTTCAACAGAGGGGCATCAAGGATGAGGCTCAGCAGTAGAACCGTGTGTCTTGCATGTGTGAGACCCTGGGTTTGATACCAGCACCACAAAAAAGAAGAAAGAAAAATATCCTTTTGGATTATTTTAAATCTATTAGGTAAGAATGAAACACACAGAAATGTGTGTAGACATACACACATATAGATTATGCATATGAATTATAGTAACTAATTCACAGTAAACCAAAGTAAAAATGCATATAAAAATTCAATAATTCATAAGAGGGGGAGAGACTGACACAGAATGATCTCCTGTCACATATAAGGTATAAGGAAACATAATGGGGGAATATCAAATGCCCAAAGTCAATGGAAACGAAGTGTATGAGAACTGGCATTCAGTAGGAAACATGCCACCTGAGGGGAATGGAGGATGGGAAAGGAAGGAGGCAAGGACTACGGTGGAGGGCAGTTTGGAACCTGGAGGAGGAAGTGGTGCTGAAAGATGTATAAAACTTGAGTCAGTTAAACTACTGTAAACCACACTGCAAAAACCTATATATTAAAAAAAAAAGTGCCCCTTGTAGAGGCAGACTGGTGATAGAAGGCAAATGAGGGGTGGAGGGCAGATATTAGTCAAGGGAAGTGAACAGTGGTGAAAAGATTGGTTTTGGAATAATGTCTGCCTAAAACCCAATCACAGACAATTTTTCAACCTCATAGAGACTAAAATAAAAACTAATAATTTTATAAAAGTAAAAATATAGCAATTCACTCATGACACTGAACAATTTCACGTGATGAGACTATAAAAAATGTTTCAAGACATGGACAGTAACTGATGTCTAAAGACATCTTTGAAAACAATATGATCAAAGACCAATATAAAAAGGAAAAAAAGTAAAATAAGCAAATGCACATGAAATAAACGATACACATAATACAAATAAGCAATATGAAACAACTGAATATCCTCTAGACTTAACAAAACATGGGAAAATACTGATAATCCTGGGTTAACTTGATTTATCAGATATGACACAGAATACATTAATTATAAAACAAAAGTAATGTCTTTGAATTTTAACATTTCTTTTCCTAATTTGTTATTGGAAGAGAAACAATGTATCTACATCTAACTTTTCCTAACTGCACATAGAAAGAATTGCTCCAACTAGAGAGGATGTCGGTAAGCAAAATATATCTGAAGACAAATACCAGATGATAAAACGCTACATAGGATTTAAAGGGGAAAAAAAGCAAGGGAAACAAACCCTGAGACTTTGATGCAGAGCTATTAACAAAGATGGGTAGGGTGGGTGAATAGGAAGAACCTTCAAAGAGAAGAAACACTGGCACTTTGGTGGTGGGCGTGATGTGGTTACACTGTACCTCTAAAACATTTACACTCCCGAAAACTATCATTACCACATTAACAATAAAATTAAAGACATGAAAAGCGAAACAATTCCTATTCCTCTATTTAGGTCCTCAAATATTTTGTATAGCCTCATCACATAAAATTGTTCAGTGTTATGTGTGAATTATTGAATTTTTATTTTGATTTGGACTGGAGTCCAACAGTTAATACCTCTTTAAACGTAAAATTCACATTCAGAGAAATTAAATCTAAGTCAGGAACATTTGTAACAGCTTAAATCAGCATATAGTATGTTAGTAACCACAATGAAGGATCCTTAGACCATGTCCATGGAACCCCAGCACCTTTTTTCTTGTCATTATCATGTCTTGGGGTATTTTAAAGACATACATTAGATGATTTCATTCACTCATAAAATATAAATTACTAAAGCAAACAGTGTTTGGGAAAAAAAAAAAACTTCTCGGGGGTATGGTGCCGCCAGCAAGTCACTGATCAAGCTGCTAAAAGGCCATGATCCCAGAGACTCAGAAACAAGTCTCAGAACCCAGTGGCTTTGGGCAGAAATGCATCCGGACCCCGCAGTGGGTTACTGTCACCAGGCCACCCCAGGGGAGAAAGAGTGCTGTCCCTCTACCTGCTCCCCCTTGGCAGTTCGGTGGCTGCCATCTTCCAGAGGCCATTGGACAGTCAGGTTTGGGCCCTCAGTAGTAACGAGACACGCGGGGATTCACGGGATGGGAGTGAAGCCGGCCCTTTCCTGCCAACCCCAGCGAGACCATGAGTTGCCGCCCACGAACGGCCTCTCTGGCTCCTGATCAAGCTGCTTAATGGCCATGATCCCAGAGGCTCAGGAACAAATCTCGGAACCCAGCAGGTTTTAGCAGAAATCCCTCCAGATTTAATTGTTAAAATTTCAGAATTTCAAAATCACACAGCCACTACTGCAGCTGCATGACATCATATGTTATTTATAACCAGCAATAGAAAACAAATTGTCTACTGTTGCCTTTTCAGCAGATCTGAGTGTTGGGGTAAAATCCCAAATAGATAACGGTGGGTCTTGTGTCAAAATATTGAATGTAAATATTTTGAGTAGAGAGAGAGTAATATGGAAATCATCTGCCCCACAGGTAGGGGATGGGTATGTGATGGGGGCATACGGGGGTTTTCGGTGGTGGAGAATGGGCACTGGTGAAGGTATGGGTATTTCATTGTATGACCAAGACTTAAACCCAAAAGCTTTGTAACTGCTCTCACGGTGATTCAATAAATAAGATTATAAAAAAATGAAAAAAAGAAAAGTAAGGTGGTGCTGAATAAATAGCAGTACTCCTACATTAAAAAAAAAAAAACAAAAACTTCTATGGGGGCTGGAGTGATAGCATAGCAAGTAGGGCATTTGCCTTGCATGCAGCCGGCCCAGGTTTGACTTCCAGCATCCCATATGGTCTCCTGAGCACCGCCAGGAGTGATTCCTGAGTGCAGAGCCAGGAGTAAACCCTGTGCATTGCTGGGTGTGATCCCAAAAGCAAAAAATAATAATAATAAAAACACTCCTAGAATCTGTAGAAATGACTGTAGGTAGAGACAGGAGGAGGAGAATGGTAGAAGGAATAATGAGAACGAGAATTTTGGCTGGTGGGGTGATACTGGAACTTTAGTGGTGGGTTGTGTAATATTGCAAACCAGTGTTAAATCAATAACTTTCTAAGATTAAAAGAAAACGTGCATCAGAAAACCAGTAGATGAAAGCTGTTCAGTTCCCAAATGATGAGCAGTGAGGAATCTTTGGCATGTTTGAATATGGAAGGAGAGTTCATTTCTATTGCCCCATTGTTTCCCAAAGGGTACAACATGCAGCACTTAGTAGGAAGTGGTGAGAAATGATAGAAGAATTCTAAGGAACAAACTTACCTGCAATGCTTCAGTCTCTTTAAGGTCTAAACCAAACACGTTGTGTCGCTTCACCTTCAAGAAATCCAGTCCATCTTCCTCCTCCTCATCCTCCTCCTTTCTGTCTAAAAACTGCACAGGAACTTCCTTTATCTGTTGTGCCTCATCAGGATGAGAAACAGATTGGGGTTGAGTATTCCCCAGTTTCTCTTCCATTTCTTTCTCATCTTCCATCTCCTCCTCTTCTTCATCACTGGTACTATCACTATCCTCTGCCACTTCACATCTTTTGCCACCTTTCTGGAGGAGAGACATTTTCTCATTGAAGCAGGCTCTAAACTCTTCCACGTCATCATTAGTGAGGGACGCAGTTACTGGATTGTCTTGGTTCACTTCCAATTCTTTAATGGGTCGTTGCTGCATTTTCTGAAGAAATCTTATCCTAGGTGCCACAGCAAGACCAAGAGACCTTAAATATGAGAAAACGAAAATAATTATCTCAATAGAGTAATGGTACACTTATGAATATTATGAAACAGTTTCTCAAGCGCTGAGGCCTATTTTTAGAGCTTTATTGTAAAGAAAATATTCTGACATACAATCTTGACAAGGTAAGAAGATGATCCAAAGACAGGCCAAAGCACTGAAAATCTGTCAGAAAACGGTCTAGACACCTCATTTTTTATTAAGTGGTTAACATGTCATAAAATAAAGATGGTAACATCAGAAACAAAGGCTGGGACTGATAACTTCCAAGATAAGTTTTTCAACCTCTGCTTCCTCAAACACAGGGTGACTCACAGCTGATACAGAGAACATGGCACAGATTAGGATTACAGACTATACAGATTACGGACTCTGGGGATCCACCAGAGCATGGCTCTTAACAAATCACAACTAGATCTCTCTGCCATTCTCAGCTACTGAAACTTAGAGCTCCTTTATGACAGGAGTATAAACTATAGATCTATAACTTTAACATCTAGTATAGCGAACTATACATACAAGGCATTCAAAACATGATTCCTTAACAAAGTAAAAAGTTTTCAATAAAACATTATTCTAACATGTGTAATAATACTGCTTTAGGTATCAAAGGCTTTTAAAGGAAATTACTCATCATGGAAATTATGTACATTAATATATTCATAAAATTAAATTAAAAGACCAAATTAAACTGTCCCCATAACTGGACTCGGGGGTATATTATCTGCCTTCCCTAAGCATAAAAAAATAAAAAGAAAAAGTCTTTAGCTCTGCACTGTGAAATTTAATGACACTTGTGTAACAAAATGTCTCCTATACACTGTCCTACTATGATTAAAACCTGTACACTAGATTTGTTACTATCTCACCTAAGTCCATCAAAAAAAGAGAAAAAACTTCACATGGCAGGGCTGGAAGAAAGAACACGAGGACAGTGAATGCTGCTAATCCCAGTTCAATCCCTAGCACTACCTATGATCAATCCCCAGAGCACTGCCAGGATCTCTCCTGAGCAGAACCACGACAGCCCCCGAGTCCTGCAAGATGTAACCCAAATGCCTCCCCGCAAAAAAAGAACTTCAAATAAGGCACAAGAACAAGTTGAATAACCCCAGCTGTGAATTGTATTTAAAATGTTAATAAACATAAACATGTTATCCACTGGTGGTTTTCCATATGTGGCCCAATACAAGTCAGTGGCCTAATTTTAATATCTAACCAATTAAGGAATTCTGAAATGTGACATTACATAAACTGTTCTATTAAATTCACAGTCTAATATGAGAAAAAAAACTAATACCTCATTCATATGAAGTTTCTTAGTAGTTATCACTTAAAGAAAAAGACATTTAAATTTAGGGAGAGATAAATAGACCTTTCCTTGAGAACACATGAGAAATTTCATGCTGACACTAAAAGTATTAATCTCAAGAAGACTTTTATAGGATTTTATAAATGCTTTTCCCACAGATAGAATCCCACTGACTAAAGAGGCACTCATCATGTGGCTTATTAGAAAATAAGACACAAATGTTGATGTTGGAAATGGTGTGAAGAAAAAAGAAATCCTTGTACAAGTGTTGATGAGAACAAGCGCTGAAAAAGAATAAAATTTCATTTTGTTCCATACTATGTTTTTGGAAAATAGTACTAAAAATAAAACTATAAAAGTATTCCATACAATTCAACCGTCCTACTTCTAAATATTTATAAAGCAAAAATTTTTAAATATACATGTATATGTTCATACAGAATTATTTTTAATATCAAGAGATGTAAATAATCCAAGAAATCATAAACAGGAGTGGATCAGGAATAAATGGTTTATATGTACAATGTATTAACACTCAACTATTTTATGAAAGTAAAATCTTGCTACCTGCAAAACATGAATACACCAAAAAAGCATTGTTATCCAGAGTTAAAGCAGGGGAAAAAAAATAAAGCTATGGTTTCATTCATATGTAGAATTTTTTTTTTTCTTTTTGCTTTTTGGGTTACATCTGGCAATGCACAGGGGTTACTCCTGGCTCTGCACTTAAGAATTACTCCTGCCGGTGCTAGGGAACCATATGGGATGCTGGGAATCGAACCCGGGTCGACCGCGTGCAAGGCAAACGCCCTACCCACTGTGCTATTGCTCCAGCCCCCATTCATATGTAAAATATTTTTTAAAATTTGAAGAATAAAACAGAATCAAAAAGATTATAAGATTAAAATGGTGACTGTGTAGAGGAAATGGGAGAGAGATGAATAAACTGTGATTAAAAGGGTCAACTGGTATGGATGGAAACAGAAGTTTTGATGATGACAATGTAGTAGAGATGTCTAATAATAACGCCATATACCTGTAACTTATACAGTAATTTAAACCAATGTTACGTCAAATCAAAAAGGTTAATGCAATATAAAACTGGAACCATCAAAATGCAAATTAAATGAACACTCCCTCTTAACAGAGAAGATTCAAAAACATCCTACAAATACTAGTATTAGCCAAAACAAAACTAAGACTCCATTTTCATATAATAGTAAACTTAGTTACTGACCAGTGACACTACACCGGGGTTCAAGTTCCTCTAAGAAATACTGAGATATTGGGGCCAGAGAGATAGTGCAGTGGGTAGGGAGTTTGCCCATCACACTGCTGACCTGAGTTCAAATCTCATCTGGTCTTCTGAGCACTGCCAGGCATGATCCCTGAGTGCAGAGCCAGGAATAAGCCCCGAACACAGCAGATGCTGGTCCAAAAACCAAAAAAGAAAAAGAAAATAACAGAGACCTAAAGTGTCAGCATCCTTCCACCAACAATTCAAGGTCTCTTTCTATGCACCCACCCACCCCCAATCCCCCACTTTAACACTCTGAAAATTCAGTTTTATGGGCCAATTCTCAGGGTTACCACTATTACTGCTGGCCAACTGTTATTCTCCTACTGTGTTTCTTAATATGAGAGAGATCATTCTATATTTATCTCTCTGTCTCTGACTGACCACTCAGTCTGATTCCTTCTAGTTCCATCCACAGCACAGCAAATGGCATGATCTTGTATTTTCTTATAGTTGTGACATACATAGTTCAGAATGAAATGAAACTGAAATTTACCAAGGTAAATGAAATTAATCCAAGAATTCAGCAGTGATTGTATTTTCTTATAGTTTCTTATTCCTGGCTCTGCACTCAGGGATCATGCCTGGCAGTGCTCAGAAGACCAGATGAGATTTGAACTCAGGTCAGCAGTGTGATATATATGTATATATACATATATTTACACACATATATGTATGTATGTATATATACCAAAGTTTCTTTATTTCCTCATTTGTTCTTGGGCAATAAGATTATTTTTGGAACTTGTCTATTGTGAACAACACTACAGATGAACACAGGAGTGCAAATGGCTTTTGAAATAATATTTTGAGGCCAGCAAAGGGGAGGGGGGACAAGAAGTGGAACTGTTCAGTCATGTGGAAACTCGATTATTAACTTTTTGAGATTTCTTTACTGTTTTCCATAAAGGTTGAACCAACATCCCCACTGACAGTGGTTAAGGGTTTATTTTTCCCTACATCTCATCAACATTGGTTGTTTCTACTTTCTTCTGTGCTCTGTTACAGTATCACTCTAACAGGTTTTTTAAGAAAGGGGGGGGGGGGGAGAAGAGAAAGAAAGAGAAAGAGAAAGTGCCTGCCATAGAGGCAGGCTGAGGAGTTAGGTGTGGCAGGGTAAGCAGGAAGGAAATGCACACTGATGAAGTGATGGATGTTAGAACATTGCATGACAAACCCAATCATGAACAACTTTGCAACTGTATCTCACTGTGATTCAATTTTTAAAATTTTTAAATAATAATAATAAATTAAAAAAAAAAAAAGCAAAGCAGTCTAAACCAAGGCTGAGGAACCAAAGACTAATTCTTTCTGTGAGAATTTATAACTATTATTTTAACAGAAATACTTACAGGGCATATTCGGGAATAGGTAACTTGCTCACATCAAACACGTCTTTAGCCTTCATCAGATATACTGAACGTATGTAGGAGACAAAACACTGTAAAACATTTTAAACATGTGACATACATAGTTCAGAATGAAATGAAACTGAAATTTACCAAGGTAAATGAAATTAATCCAAGAATTCAGCAGTGATAAACCTCAAAATAGCTGCACACATCTCCATTACACAACGTTTTTCTATCTTTGCAGAACTATAATGCTAACAAAGACTTTACATTTGGTTCAATTAAGCCAATTCAACAAAGAAGTATCATCTCAAAAATGCTATTCTAAGGCCAGGGAGATAGCTTAAAGATGTGGCTAGCAGGGAGGAGGCCCCAGGCTTGATCCCTGGTACTAAAGCACCCACCACTCGTTTTTTTTTTTATAAAGCTGTTGTAGCGGGGCTGAGAGACAGTATATAGTGGGTAGGGTGCTTGCCTTGCATGTGGCTGACCCAGGTTCAAAACCCAACATCCTCTATGTTCCCCTGCCAGGAGTGATTCTGAGTGTAGAGACAGGAGTAACACCTGAGCATTGCTGAGTGGGTTCCCAAGACAAAAGAATAAATTAAATAAGAAATGATCTTTTAAAAAATGCCATTGTAGGGACCAGAGTGATAGGATAGCTGGTGGACGGTGGATCACTTACCTTCTATCCCCAGCCCCATTTGGTCCCCTGCCAGCAGTGATCCCTGAGTGTAGAGCCAGGTAAACCCTAAGCACAGCCAGGTGGCCCCATAAAACAAAAACAGCTTTAAAAAAAAAATCTATTCTAGAAGTTAATGCCACTTAATGGTAATAAAGTATTAAGAGGCTTTGGAATAATACGAATAATAGTATGAACTTTATCTTACAAGTTTCTATATTTCTCCAGTTAATGGAAATAGCATCTTTTAGTGTTATAAAAGTTATATGTGAAAATGCATGTAGAATACTTATATTTCAGGCGATATGCCAAGTGCCAAAAAAATTGTTATAAATAATAATAATCATTATAGTACTCAAGGGATAACTTTTCCCAGAAATAAAAGAAAATCTAACTATAATTAAGTGAAGCTTAATAAAATCATAACCAAAAGTTTATTCCCGAAGTTCTCCCTTTTCCATTTTCAAATAATTCTTCATCATTATGATTTCAAGTAATTGTCATTAACTCATAAAATATGTAGGCAATAAAAATGATAAAGCATATCTAAGTATTTTCATTTATTTTTAAATTGTACTTTGTAGAATATATTTAATTCCCATATCTACGTTTTCCTGAACTTCCCATATTATGGCTTAATGCTAATCCTTTTTTCAAACCACTTACACTAATCTTCAAACCATTTTCTCTGTCTCTGCAGGCATGAAAAAGAATGAATAGCTTTAATTCTAAGATCATTCTTCCCCTACAATCACCCACAAGACATCACCTCAGTTGCTTATCATTTTTGTTCTATCTTGACTATAATCAAAAGCCAGAAAATTCTTCTATGAAACGAGATGGCTTGCAGTAGCTGGCAACAAACTTAGCCATTCTGCTAAACCAAGCGTGACATCCAATCAATCACATCATTTATTTCAATGTGCTGTATTATACTCTTTGTTCTGGCAGATTCATGTGTTGTTTCACAAACCTGTAAAGCACCATCCTTCCAATGATTCATATTTACTGATTCATAATTTAATAGCCTCTTGATATATAATGAGCTAGGGCATATCGAATTCACGTCTAGTACTTTCAAATGTGCACCTATTTCTAAAGCTTCTAAAAGAACTGACGCCAAACTTGAAGTATGTATGTTAGACAAAACGTACACACAAACGTTTGCATGCCCAGATATATGCTGAAAATTTCTATGACATAAAAAAGGAAAAAAGTTACAGTCTGCTTCAAGGTTCTTTCAGTAGATTTCAGGTGAAATGTGATTATGTTGCACTACTTGTTAACTAGTTTTTTTTCCTTTGGGTGGGGGAGAACGTGATTTGTTCGGATATTTTGGGGTGATACCAGGGATGCACTTTACCAATGAGCCATATACCCCAGTCCGTACTTCTTTTATTTTGAAATTTATTTCTTCTGATGTATCATGAAGAAATTTATAAATTCAGGTCGGTCACTTAATAGTTATGTGATCATGTAATCTTATCCGTTTTCTTATACCATTGTCTACTCATCTACAATATTTATTAAGTATCACCTATGTCATAGACTCTGGAGAGAATTAACATTACACATAATAAACCATCATAGAACAAAATCATGTCATGACTAAGTGCTTTGTAAATATCAATTATTCAAATTTTAGCTTCTAGCAATAATGTTATTTCAAGCACATTTTAAAAATGTATTCTCTGTTCTTTAAATAAAACCTGAGAGGGTTGGGAATGCCACCCAGTGGTAGGCTACAAGTCTCCCATGTGTCATGACCTGGGCTCAATCCCCAACACCAGCCAAGAAAGAAAAATATTAGGAAAAAACTTCAGGGATATCCAATTTCTGAACCACAACCTAAAAACCTGGCAAAGACATTCTGTTCAGACTTCTCTATTTACTTAGGATTCCCTCTCCCTGCCTCTTATACTTCCTCCCTCCCAATTCATCTATCTGCCAAAATTGAATCCACACTCTGAATAGACTGCAGTCACCAATGATAACTCCATGCAGATGGAGCTATCACTGCTGAGCTGATAACTACAATATAAGTAAAAACTGGTGAAAATGAGAAGCTTCAATAACAGGGACTCAAACAGTTGTCAATTCAATGATAAGACAGCTTGTAAGCGCAATCCAAAATAATTCCACGTCTTCCTTTTCTAAGAATCTACTGTCAGACATGCTAAGAACTAAAAACTGAGTTCAATAAAAGTAACACTTGTGAATTTCCTCATTAAAAAAATTTCTAAGTCCAGAAAAGCGGTTTAGGGGTCCCTGAGTCTTATTTATGGATAAAAATCTCCTTAAGAAAATGTAACCAAAGTTATACGCTTTCTATAAATTTAACCTATATAAACAAAGTACAGGAGTTACTCAAACTATTGAAGAAATCCAAAGTTGGTAGCACTTGGGGGAGAGGGGCAGGGGAAGGGGGGTGATGCAAGGATTCAAACCCAGAAGCCCTATCGCTTAGCCCACCCCACTCCCAAACATTGTTAACTTCGTGAGGTATACTAGACACCAGGTCACTCTGGGCTGAAATCATCCTTGAATTGGTGAGAGGAATATGGACAGGACATATTTCCAGGATATAAGGCAGAATTTTTCAAAATTTAAATACATTAAACTTATTTGAAAATTGGTATTTGAATAGGTAAAATATAAACATGCAACATGGAAGCAGCAAAAAATGGTAAAATGAAACTTCTGCAGGAATCCCATTCGAAGACTTACCCTTTGAGCTCTCTCTTTTAAATCTTGATCTTGAGCTAAAAAGGATTCCAATTTTTTCTGGACATCTATAAGTTTTTCTGGATTGATTCTTAGAAACAAGAAGATAAAGGTTAAAACTAAAACTTCTCAAATTTTGAAACAGAACGTGGTAGAGATTGTCCTCAATTATTACCTTTCAATCTTAAACACCACTTTCATTTTAAATCGTACTAGCACAGATTTAACTCCTTTGTATAATTTGTAGCAAGATTTAGGTAAGAAAAAAACCCTACTTGTTTCCCTAATTTTAGACTCAACCATGTTGTTTCTGAAAAGCGAGGGTAGTGGTAGGTAGTAGTGGATTTTACTTCTGTTTTCAGATATCAAAAGTTTCAAAATACACTTTCACTGAGCAATTATCAACTCACGGCCAATCTTGTCTCTTCTCAAATGTTAACACTACTTCTTCATCTATCCACCCTCCAAATAATCTTTAAGAAAATCAAGTCAAAGCATTAAAAGGGCTGAGAACAAGTGAAAAGGAGATGGTACATGGTTTCACTCATCTGTGGAAGATCAAAAAAAGAAAACAAAGCAAATGAACAAGCCAAACAAAAATGAATTTAGATTCCAACAAGAGAACAGTGGCTCCCCAGGAGCGAAAGGGTGCTGTCCCTCCACCTGCTCCCCCTTGGCGGTTCAGTGGCCAGCATCCACCAGAGGCCATTGGAGAGTCAGGTTTGGGCCTGCAGTGACAAGACATGCGGGGCCTCACGGGATGGAGGTGGAGCCGGCCCTTTCCTCCCCACTCCAACAAGACCCCGAGTCAACGCCCACAAACGGCCTCTCTGGCTCCTGATAAAGCTGCTTAACGGCCATGATCCCAGAGACTCAGGAGCAAATCTCGGAACCCAGTGGCTTTTGGCAGAAATGTGTCTGGCTCGCAGTTGGTTACTGTTGCCGGGCCATTCCAGGGGAGAAAGGGTGCTGTCCCTCCACCTGCTCCCGCTTGGCGGCTCAGTGGTTGCAATCCCCCAGAGGTCACAGGACAGTCAGGTTTGGGCCCTCAGTCGGGGTTGGAGCCAGCCCTTTCCTCCCCGTCCCAACGAGACCCTGAGTTAAGACACCCACTAACAGCCTTTCTGGTTCCTGATCAAGCTGCTTAATGGTCATGATCCAAGAGACTCAGGAACAAATCTCGGAACCCAGCAGGTTTGGGCAGAAATCCCTCAAGATTTAATTGCTAAAATTTCAGAATTTCAAAATCACGTGGCCACTACTGCAGCCACATGACATCATATGTTATTCATAACCAGCAATAGAAAACAAATTGTCTACTGTTGCCTTTTCAGCAGATCTGAGTGTTGGAGTAAAATCCCAAATAATAATGGTGGGTCTGGAGAACACAGGGGATTGCCCTGCCACAGAGGCGGGGGGGGGATGGAGGGATGGGGGTGGGGGGGATATTATCCATGGTGGTGGAAAATGGGCACTGGTGGAGGGATGGGTATCTGATCATTGTATAATCGAAACCCAAGCACAAAAAATAGTAAATCTACAACTGTACCTCATGGTGTTTCACTAATAAAAAAATAAAATTTAAAAAAATAAATGAAAAAAAATAATGGTGGGTCTGGTGTCAAACTATTGAATGTAATCAAAGTAGAGAGAGAGTAATATGGAAATCATCTGCCCCACAGGTAAGGGAGGGTGTGGGATGGGGGTATACTGGGGCTTTAGGTGGTAGAGAATGGGCACTGGTAAAGGTACGGGTGTTTCATTGTATGGCCGAGACTTAAGCCCAAAAGCTTTGTAACTGCTCTCACGGTGATTCAATAAATAAAATTATAAAAAAGTTTTAAGAAAGAAGTAAGGTGGAGCTCGTGCCCAATTCAATCAGCTAATCAGTGGTTGAATAAACAGCAGTACTCCTACATTTAAAAAAAAGAGAAAGAGAGAACAGTAGCTACCGAAAGGATAGGGAATAGAGGGGGTAGAGCTAGAAGTGTCAACTGCAAGGTGGTGGATAGAAATCAGACAGGTGCTTGTGACCACAATTAGCACAAAGTAGACTCCCAACTGGAAACTGTATACTGAAAATGCATAGATATGCAGGAATTACAAGATACAAAATCCAGGGCTGGAGTGACAGCACAGCGGGTAGGGCATTTGCCTTGCACATGGCCAACCCTGGTTCGATTCCCAGCATCCCACATGGTCCCCTGAGCACTGCCAGGAGTAATTCCTGAGTGCAGAACCAGGAAGAACCCCTATGCATTGCCGAGTGTGATCCAAAAAGAAAAAGTATATATATACAAGATTCTAGAAAGTAACAAAATGTTATAAATAAGTGAATAAATACATAGGTTGGGGGACTGTTACACCTGGGGCCAGAGCAATAGAACAGCAAGTAGGGTGGGTAGGGTGCTTGCCTTGCAGGTGGCCAAGTTTGATACCCCATCTGGTTCCCATGTGGTTCCCAAAGCCCCACCAGGAGTGATTCCCGAGCACAGAGCCAGGAGTTAAGCCCTGAGCACCACAAAGTGTGGCAAAAAAATAAAAACAGTTACACTGGAAACTTACAATGTTTTAAACTAAAACAACCTCAATTAACAAATTAAAATCAGGGGCTAGTGAAATGGTACAGGAGCTAAAATACTTTCCTCCCTCAGGACTGACCCAAATCTGATTCCCAACACCACATGGTTCCCTGAACATCATCAGGCGTGACTCCGGAGCACAGAGCCACTATTTGGCCCTGAGTAACAATGAGTACTCCATCTTCCCATGCCCACCTCACCACCCAAAAAAGAAAATAAAAATCAGGGCCAGGAGGAGACTACAGAGATTAGGACATACGTCCTGCTAGCAGCCGATCTTGGTTAAATCCCTGGTACCATTTGCCCCTAAGCATATCTGGGGGCTGTGGAGACACCCAAGCAATGAAACAGCACGGCTGGCTGAGAATCACCAGGCTCTGAGCACCACCTGAAAGATTCCCCCTTAAAAAAGAAAGAAAAGTCTGTAAATTCTTACAGAAAATAAAGGGGGAGGGCAGAGACAGAAACAGCAGAGGAAGAAGAAATAAAAACCCGGATGGCAGGGGAAAACAGCATTACTCTTCTTTTCCTAAGAGACCAGTAACACCTCAAAATGTCCTTACTTGATTTCCTTCACAGGTACTTTCCTCTGGAGAAGCTGGTGTACCATCCCTTTCTCCTCTGAAGGAAGCAAAATTAATAAAGCTTCACCACCTTCTTTGTACCTAAACAAAAAGAGCAAAACACCATCAACACAATCTCCATTCTAGAGTTTAGTAGCTTGAAGAACAGATAATATGAAAGCAAGTTCAACTAATTAGTCTTTCTTAGGAATACCTTTTCATCTTCTTTGACAAAAGACAACCAAGGCTCTGAACACCTGATACAAAATTTTATCACTAGTTATACTTCCTAGGGACTTTAGACCCCACCAAAATAGGAGAGCTGGATCCTAAGGAACAAATTTTAAAATGTCTTTAATACCTCACTACCTACAGCAAGAGGAAAGCTTCTCATTCAAGTCACTAAAAACTGTAATGCAATTGTTCATTTAATCACCATGGGATCCACAACACTGAGGAAATTAAATCAAGTCTTGTCATACATAGTCCAGAAGTGTCAGTTGCAAATAAAGAACCGGGGCGGGTGAGGGAGGTGGTGGTGGGTAGGGCACTCGTCTTGCAATAACTTGACCCCGGCTTGATGCCCGGCACTCCAGATGATCCCCTAAGCCCCACCAAGAGTGATCTCTGAGAGTACTGTGGGGGGTGAAAAAAAAAAAAAGAGTGATCCCTGAGCTCGGAGTCAGGAGTAAGTCCTGAGCACTGCTGAGTATGGTCAAAAGAACAACAAAAAAAGGACCTTACTTGCTGTGGAGAGGAGAGGAGACTGTTCCAACCAGAGGCTGACGCCAACCCATTTATCTCACAGAGTAAAATCCTCCTTCATGCATCATTCATCATCAGGAATTTGTACTCTCGGGTCTGAGAAGCTGCTCAACAGGCTGAGTGCATGCTTTGCATGTAGGTCAGCCAGGTTCACACCTCAGCACTGAATGAGCACAGGGCTAGAGATAACCCCTGAGCAACACCAATATCGCCCAGAACCACAAACAACAGAAATCTGCACAGGCCACAATAAGCCCGCTCTTCACTCAGGCAAACTGTCCTATTAGCATACAGACTGCCCTGATATCTAAGGGTTAGCTGTTTTCTGCAAGCAGTAAGACAACAGAATTTGGTATCTGTGGAAATTTTCTAAAGTAACAGAAGTTAAAGTCATCTCAAAGCACTCTCATCAAGGTTTTTGCTCTAAAAATATAATGATGGGCTCAGAAGCTAGCTAAAGTGATAGAACAAGCCTAGCATGTACAAAGCCCCGAGGCTGATACCACACTCTCTGCTCCCCACACCCAATTTAATTGACCCCTAGACACTCTCCAAAGTGATGCTCATAAGAAAAAAAAAATCTTAAAAATATGCATCTATTAGGGACGAAAAACAAAATTTTAAGTAGTTCATGTGGGGGTGGTTCTCTCAAGCAGTACTCAGAAGACCTGAGGGCCACTCCTTGTGGTACTGAGTTCACCAACCTGTCAATCAAATCCAGGTCCTCCACACATGAGGCCTGAGCCCCAGTCCTTAGAGCTATCACCCCAGTTCCTTTAATAAATTTAGGGCCATTTCCAGGGGTGATCAGGGCCATATAGAAGTGCTGGGTAGGGGATGGCATGCAATGCCGGGGGTCAAACTTAGGACCTCACACATACTAGGCATGTTGTCTATCATTTGCATATCCCTGGTCCTGGCAGGGAAAATTATTATACTTAACCAAATAAACTATGCACCGAGAAAAACTGTGCCAGCATAAGCTAACAGAAGGAAACAAGAGATGAATACTAGTCTCCGGTGATCTAGCAATGCAACTGACTAAAACAGAGAAGCAGGGGATCCAAAAGAACAGACCCAGATAGTAAATTGGCAATGTCAAAGAACAGTCACAGGTAATAAGTGCCTATGAACAGAGAGTGAGAGGACTGCTCAAGGTTAGCTAGGGGAAACATGTTATAGCAGATAGAACTTTGAAGTGGGCTTAAAAATGGATGGAAAGAAAATAGTTGAGGTACTGTAAAGAGGGAGGAAGGAGAAAGAAATGGATGCCAAAAAATACAAGGTGAGGGGCTGGAGCGATAGCACAGCGGGTGGGGCGTTTGCCTTGCACACGGCTGACCCGGGTTCGATTCCCAGCATCCCATATGTCCCCCGAGCACCACCAGGAGTGATTCCTGAGTGCATGAGCCAGGAGTAACCCCTGTACATTGCCGGGTGTGACCCAAAGAGCAAAAAAAGAAAAAAGAAAATACAAGGTGAACTTAAGAGTCTACAAAGAAAGGATACACTCAGCCAAAATGGGTAGAGAAGATGCCTCTGGCTTCAATGTCTTAGAAAGTTAAAAAATACAGAAAGAAAAAAAAAAAGAAACAAAATGGGTACAGAAGGGAAAAGTCAGGAGGATTCCTAGAAAGGGACAGTAGGATCTGGTTTTGAAGGAATTTGGATGCCTCTACATAGAGATTCAATACAGTGTAGAATTATTTTCTCACCAAACGGTGGAACAAAAAACTGTTTTGGGGACCAGGGACATGGCTCAAATTGTAAAGCACATGCCTTACAAGTGTGAAATCCGAGGTCTGACCCCAGGACATGGTCTTTGGAGCACTGCCAAGTATATAACCCTAGTGGCCTGAGGACAACAGTAGCTCCACACAAACAACAGCAACAACGAACATAACTTTTTGCTTTGTACTGTAATAAAAAAGACTAAAGGGCAATTTTTATCTTCCTTGTTCATTCCATACCTTCACTCCTACATTAGGTGAAACTCCTAGTGTAATACCATTACAAAAGTATGTATATCTGCATATATATTATACACATATTTGTATTGCATGTATATGCATATCTTCATGTGTAAGAGAAAAGCATGAAATAAAAACCATCAAATGAGACACCAAAGCAATAGTACAGAGTAGGGCACTTGCTTTGAACATGGCTGACCCAGCACCCCAAATGGTCCCTCAGTGATTCCTAAGCACAGAGCCAGGAGTAAGGGACCACTGTGCCAAAGCACTTACCAAAAAGCCTTCAGAACAGCCAGACCTGGGTGAAATTAAAGTTTATTCCATGCAGGCCAAAGAGGAGTTATTAGAACAGGGGGAGATGAATGGCTGAAGGATAAGAAATCCTTTTCACTTCACTTCAACTGTTCCCAAATGCAGAAATAGAAAGATGCCGAAAACAGGCTCCAAGTCTGCAGAGGGTCAGAACCATAAAAATGGCAGCACCCTCTGACAGTCTCTGATCTTCAGATTAAGGAGCAAGAGTTTTAAGCCTGTCATCTACCTCAATCTGATTTGCCTGTTCATGCACTCCCGAGAGTACTAGGGCAAAGGAATCATGACTACTACTACAAATGGGTGAATCCCAATCTCAAAGGGGGAGGGGGGAACACTGTAACAGAATTACATAGATACACAGCGAAGCTGTACAAGATTAGAACAGACTCCAGTATTAAAATTTAGAAGAAAAAGATCCCTAAAGGCAAAGAGGAGGGAGGGGAAGAAGCTCAAAGTCAACTGGCCAGCCAGCAAGCCTCCCCTGAAATCATCACAGACCGTCTACCTTTCTTCCATCACGCACATCTGTTCCCAGAAACAACGTAAAGCACAGATTATCTCCCACACAGCAACACCCAAAAATTTCCAGGAAGCTAAAAAATGTGGCATAAGCACACCTCAGTTTTTTAATGCTTACAAGAATAGCCTATTTCCCCAGAACTACTTTTTGAAACTACTAGTTTCAAAAAAATATCCCAGCCTGAGGCTAAGTAAATGGATACAGAGAAATAAATATTCTCCTTAAGATCTACATTCTAAAACTCCATATATTTAGACCAAATATTTTAAGAGGTACCGTAGGCACCACATAAAAAGCCCTGCATCTGAAACACAACAAAACGTCACATTTCACGATCAGCACAAATACCATGCTGAATTTACATAGTTCTTTGGAATTTATAAAGACCTTCATTTTTTATGCTCATTTGTCGATCTTAAGAAGCAAGCGACCAGGAACCAGAGTACAGGAGGTTAGGCGTTTGCCTTGTATGCAGCTGACTCTGGTTTGATTCCCAGAAGCACATATGCTCCCCCAAGTTCTGCCGGGAGTGATCTCTGAGCACAGAGGCAGGATTAAGCCCTGAGCAGTCAGGTGTGGCCCAAAAATCAAAGAGCAAGCAACCAGTACAGGAAAAAAGAAATAATAATAATAATAATAATAATAATAATAATAATAAAAATAATAATGATGTTCCTGAAAAGCCAAGAAGTTGACCTTAAAAAAAAAATCAATGATCACTTCCTTAAAAACCTGTCAACTTCCAATTGACTGGATTCCACCACCCCCCCCCCCCAACTATACTGGGATTCCTTCCAGAAATAAGGTTCTTGCATCAACTGATAATGATTTTCTAACAGATATCAGGAAGCTTATCACTATATCCAATATAGCTCACTTGCATTTCTGGCTAAAACAGGAGATGCAGACCATTAGCTTCTGGGTTCCAGTATTAATTCTTCCACCAAAATAACCTTCTTCCACTGAAATACGGCAGATGAAGGAAAGAAAGCCTGCTATTCTGGCAACTTGCCTTCTACCCAAAGATGCATTAATCCTCAACTACTCCAAGATTCCTCAACACCAGCTTTAATCCAGTTGAGTCTGCAGAAGTCCCTGACCCCAACTACTGCTGCAGTATACTGGCAGTACCCATGACTTTGTTCAGGCCTGTTCTCTCATCCAACTCTGCAGGTAAGGTAATAAAATGTTTATAGAAGAATATGCTGGATAATTCCACTTTTTAATGTAAAAAAATACTTATGGAACAAATATTTTCTAGGTGAAGGATGTCACTCAGAGGTAGAGCACAAGTCTCATAAATTTCAGACTCCAGACTCATTTCTTCAGAAAGAAAAAAAAGTCTTCTAGGTGGTGGTGGGTTTGGGTAGCTTTTGATTTGCCATTGTTTAAAATAATGTGACTAAGCATTGTCTTTGTAATGAAACAAGTTATTAAAAATAGGCAGTACTATATACACCACTAGCACCCAACTCAACAGAGCTGGGTATAGCCCAAATCACCGCCAGGGGTGGTCCCTATTTATTAAA